ATGCCCCATGGTGCATTTTCAGACCAAGCTGTTCCCTTTTCCAGCTGCCCTGCATACTCAGCCCTCCAGATACTATAAATACGTGTATAGTTCTTACAACACGTAACTGTGCCGCTGAAGTTGAAATGCAAGGAAAGAAAACCATGGCAGTAATGAGGGATGACACATTTTTGTAGAATCATGGAATGGTTTGGGTTGGAAAGGACCTTAAAGATCATCCAGTTCCAACCCCCCTGCCATGGGCAGGGACACCTTGCACTAGACCAGGTTGCTCCAAGCCTCATCCAGCCTGGCCTTGGACACTTCCAGGGATGGGGCATCCACAGCTTCTCTGGGCAACCTGTCCCAGTGCCTCACCACCCTCTGCGGGAAGAATTTCTTTCTGATAGCTAATCTAAACCTCCCCACTTTAAATTTAAACCCATTATCCCTTGTCCTTTCATTACTTCCCCTCCTTCCTTCCTTCCAATTACATCCAAGTAATAAAGACAGAGCACTGGCAGTACCACTAGTGCACCAGACCAGCAGTGCTCACGAGCGCAGCGCTTCCCAAACTGTGTTCCACGAAAGATCAGCAGCAGCAAAGCCAGAGCAAGAGACCAGCCGTTGATGTGGACCTTGGAATCTGATTAAATAGGTTCTTGGGTTTTTCCACACAGATCCTAGTGCATTCATTAGCGCTACCTGCTGCCACTCCTTTAGCTCTGTGTTCCCACACATTCCCAATTTGCCCTTTGTGTCTCAGAAGCCAAGACACATGATTCTCAGGGCTGTATCAGCTGGGAATTTTACACAGACCAAATGGCAAAACAAAGCAAAGCGTCTCACCTCGTCTCTTTAGGAGGAAAGTGGAAAGCAGAGCTCCAGCAGCCCATCCCAGCCATTGTGTGTCCAGCAGATGGCAAATCCTAAGTTTTCCAGCTACAAGAGAACACTCCTCTGGGTCTTTGGGAGCCTACCTACTGGAATTAGAGTCTTCTCAAACCATTTTGAAGACTTTGACTTCCTTATACTGCATACAACTTTAACAGGTTTTAACAACAGAAAGGAGACACGTGCGTAGAAATTATTAATGATAAGTTTGATAAATAATGAACTTCTTTGTCTCCTTTCTTTTTGCTGCTGTCTCCTCTCTGTAACTAGTCTTCTAACAACAGCATTTTGCAAGTTCTGTGCTTTACTAAATTTCTCTATTGGTTAAAGCATTACCTGAAGAGTCAGATACAAGTATTCAGTTCCTTGATGGGCAAATTGCTACCCAATCTAGGTAGTTTTCTCTAGCAAAGGGTCTTTACGGAAAGGAAGAGCCACTGAAACACACGTACAGTTCTCTGCATTTCCTTTTTTCAGTCTTGGAGGTTCTGAGTTAGAAGTCAAATAAAGTGGGAATGCTGGCATAAGCCAAAGCGGATTAAAGAGATGACATTTTTCTATAGCACTCTCTCAGCCCTCAGGATATAGCCTACCTTTTTTTAACAAAAAAAAAAAAAAAGAGAAGGCAAGCAGAACCTTGGATTACAAGCACAGAAAGAAAACAGTTCATTTTACTGACTGTCATAAAGAAACCCTGAATGTTTGGAGGACAGAATGTGGAAAACAAATGTTCATCCTTGGGTATTTCACAGTGAAATACAAATATTTCATTATGAAATAAAAATATTCTGCTTTGCGATCAGCTGAGGTGATCTTCAGTCTCGAGGGTTCAGCAATCCAACAAAAGAAAAATCGAAGTGCATAAAAATGAATGAAGCCAGGGAAGTATTATGTATCAGGTGACAAAAGTTATTTGGGGAGCTTACAAAGCAGTGCAGTGATACAAAGGACAGCTCCTCAGCAGCTGGCACTATTCCAGGAAAAGGGCTCTGAATGGCAATTCCCATTAGGGTGGCAGTGCTGCTGTCTAATAATGTTTTGTCCATGTTTCAGTCCCTGAATACCCCAGAGTAGTTGCCAATGCACCAAGAGCAATTTGTGCAGGACTCTTCGTGGAGAAACGAGCTATTCTCGGACCATCGGATTTTCCCTCTGCATTAAGAGCTGCTGGTCTGCTGTACTAATGGACTGATTCAGCACCAACACTGACAAGGCACCTCAGCCTCTGAGAGCTGTGAAGGAGCTTTGCATTCCCTTCAACAGTCAGAAAGGGGAGGAGAAATCTGCTCTGTTTGCCCAGTTATATGACAGCTTTAAAAATTTTTACAGCATGAGCACAGCACCTAATCCAATAAAGCTTGCCAGAGGAACATTTAAAATCCAGGTCTCTCAGATTTTGTTTCTTGTAAATTCACCAGACTTCCAAGAAAAGGGTCTTTCCCTGAGAAATGCCGCACCAATCCCACCAGAGTTGCACAGGGATGAGGACTATTTTTCTGCCCCGCTGTGGGAAAGATAGCTGAAAGTACTGAGAAATAGGCTGTAGGGATGCACAAAACGGACTGGAGCTAATGAATGGGAACAGGAAGAAGAAAATGGAAATACAACTTCCCAAGGAAATCAAAGCATTTGCTCAAAACAGAATAAAAAGCAGGAACAACCTGTAATAGGAATTTAATTCTTTTAATGCAATGACTGCTCTCTACAGATGGAAATAACTGCTGGTTTTGTTCGGAGGTCAAAGCATGAAGAAAAAAATCCCTCTTCCTATTTACTATTGTCTGTCACCAACCAACTACCTAGAAAAGGGGGGAGGGGGGAGAGGGGGGAAGGTGGAGACAGCAAAACTTCCGTGAGCATGTATGCAACGAGAAATCCTGCCTTCTTGCAGAGACGCTTCTCCTTTAATTTCACAAAGTAAAAGCTGACAGATAACTGACAACGAATTTGAAAAACGAAACGGCAGCAACATCAACCTGTAATGATCCCAAGATTTTTGATCACAAGAAATGGAAATTTTTTCAGCTTTTACTAAAGATTAGGCAGCTTAAGCCGCTACTTTTTAAAATCATCTCTTTTCCGTTACTTTCTCCACTGTGAGAAGGTGAAGAGCTGCATCTATTATAACCACACGCTGTGCAAACCTCATTTGGACATGATCATCATCAATCACTCCTGCTGTGCAGGTAGCATGTGAAAGGGAAACAAAACAGAAATCGTGCTGCAGTATTTGACACCACCCGCTCCCCTGCTCGTATGCTTTAGTTTACAGAGAGCCCAGTTGGCATATGGTTATTCTCCTTTTTTGGGACCCCTGTCTTTTCTCTCCCTCCAAGCATTTGAGAATAGCTTTGATGCTTTCAGGGGAAAGACAAAAACCTTTCCTTCTCTCTCAAAGGCTTTTCCTACTGAAAACATGCCAAAGATACATTATTATGTACCATCTTCCCTTTGTAAATACATACACATTGCTTGCAGCAGTGCCTCTTCTTATCGTATGCATAGGCTTCAGAAGAAGAGGAATATTGTGAAAGGAAGGAGAATGCAGTGAGTATCCTTTGTGGCAGTGCCATGCACAGTCCTGAAAAGAGCTATTACTGCCAGGATCCTATTGTATTTCTCTAGCACACACTTCAACTAGCTGTCAGCACTATAATCTCAACCAGTAGAGGCACAAGGCTTACAAGAGCAGGAAAGATAGCGTTTGTCTTTTTCAGAAAGGTCTGGAGTAAGCTGCAATAAATATTACACAATATTTAGGGATGCAGATGCAACCCGAGTCACAGCTGAAAGACAGACTGCAGTCTTACCAACACTCTACCAGCTTATCCAGGGTGTGAAGAGAGCACCCTCCTCGAGTTTCATAGCTCTGGTTAGTACCAAGCCAATTCAGCAGACTTGCACTAGTTTACCACATCCTGACTCCCTGGTATGACTCAGGTGAGCAGAAGTGTCCTGCACTTGGTGTTTTCTGATGCGCCAGCACTGCAGCCTGGTTTTAAACAGCTGCACGGCAGCACACACCAGAGAACAGCTCTTTCTGACTCACTGACTGCACCTCCGACAGTTCAGGAGAGCACAACCGTAATACAAACTAACACAGAGCTGCAAACACGCTCCCCCTTCCAAGCACCGGGACAGAAGTGTTGTCACTTCCCCACAGACTTTATTTCCCTCAGCATGTTAATAAACTGCTCTGGAATAACGAGGCATTTAAAGGCATCTCCCAAGTACCTCGCAGACCTCCCACATATGAATCTGGACGTGAGACTTTGAACTAGAAATCACTTCCTTCCCTCTCCTAGGAATCATGCTACTCCCTCCTATACAGGACAGACAGCATTTGCAGCCTGAACCCCCCCACTGAGCTGCTGTAGCATCCGTCTGCAGCTTATGCTCCATTCCAGAGCAGTGAAATGCCCAACCACCCTGCTGTTGACAGCCACCTCATTTATTAGCACCATGATGTGCATGCCCGTATGACCCATCACGATGTCCTGCCAACACACACCTTGTAGTGAGTTGATAAGCTCTTGCCACAGAGCAGCAGCCCCAGAAGAAGTGAGGAGGGCTCGGATGTCCCTCCACCTTTCAGAACTATGTCTTCAGGTGAGAATGGCAACACCAGGACCCATCACTGCCTGGGACAGAGAATGATCACCCAGAAATTCCTGACACCGGCTTTAAAGTTGTGACGTACCACGTGTGCCATCTGCTATACAGCAATGGATACAAGCATGTGCTCAACTTCAAAATCATAAATGGTGGCCTCAGTGATGACTATGAGTGACTTTTGAGGCAACCACACACAAGAATGCAAGATCAGGGCAACAAAAGGGGCGTACAGCTCCCACTGGAACAAAGTGATGAAGGTATTCATGCAACTGGCCTCCATAAACACACTTTTTTGTATTGTATCAGGGTTTTGAAACACAGCTGAAGGCCAGGCAATGAGAAGGTGAAGGAAACCCTAAGTAGGTTGTCCACACAAGTTAACAAGGCCACAGAAAGGGTAGCCTAGGCAGCACTCTGTTCAACTTCCAAGTCTAAACTTCTAAGTTTAAAAGCAGCAACAAGTCATCTTCCATCTCAACAAGACACAAATGCAGTTTCAAACATGTACTCACCCAGAAGAGAAGGTTGAAGACAAACATTAGGTACTTGATACACTGCAGGCAGTTGTGAGCCATGCTGCACCTCTTCAGTTCTAGGAGAAAAATAAACGAGAGATCCAGGTAAAAGACAACGTACTTGTTTCCCTTGGGGGACGTGTACTTAGCCTTGGTGGCCTTAGGGCCTGGATTGGTGTGGAATCCAAAAAAAGAGTTGCTGGCAGCCCCAAACTGGCCACCATACATGCTGCTGTAGCGACGAAAGGCGCCATTTGGGAAACTGTAATCCTTGCTGTCCAGGGAAGGGCTCCTGTGATAGGTGGACTCATCCGTGCTAGACCTGCGCATGGTGGCTTCGGCTCGTCCCGGCACAACTGCTGCTCTGACAATCGTCGGGTGTCGACGACGGTGCGCGTGAAAGGTTTGCGATTCTCTTTCGTCCTCCTCGCTACGAATCCCCTATTGCTTTGCACCAGCTGTTCTTTTGTCTGCCATCCCGTAAGGAGTTACACGTGCTGTGCGGCAGCAAAGTTGGAGAACTGAAGTCTGCTTAGCCCGGAGTTAGGGAGCAGTGTGCTTCCCCATGAGAACGACTTCCGCACAAGTAAGCATCCCCTCCGGTGTCACAGTCGTCCCTCCCAGCCCACCCCACTACCAGAGAAGAAAAAAAACCAGAGCGATATACTGTACCCAAAGCAACAAATTTTAAAAAA